ATGTTATCAAAAAATCAATAGAAATTATTACCCTATAGATATTTGCCAAATATTGCTATACTACGTCTACTTCTACCTTTTACAAGTGGAAAAATCAAGCAAGATATTCGAAAACTATGAACCAAACTATAGAATGTCCTAAAATTGCTGTATTTCGTAATTATTATCGATTTCATTGAAGATAAGATACCAATGTAAAATAAAACAATTACATATCATGTTGTACACGATAAACCAAGCAAATAAATTGTACTATTTGTAAAGAATCTTCAGGATTATAATTTATTATAAACATATAACCGATTACGTCCTTTATTTCTTTGTCGATTTATACACAATACGCACTTTCCTTCTGAGACATTTCAGAAAAATGAATTATAACAACTTTAAAAATAAACAAATTTTTAATTTAAAATAGTAAATAGGTCTATATAGTTTCTATTAAACATATTAATTTAATTCAAACATGAGATATGAACTAGAAAATGTATTTCTAACGTAAATTGTATTTAATAAAAAATTGTTTGTCGACATACCTGGACAAAACGTTTTATGAGACTAACAATTACACCCACTATTGACAGTTGGCACTCTGCAACTGATAACACTAAAGTTATCTTTATCGTTGTCTTTTTTATCATAATAGTAAAATGAAATAATCAAAAGATAAGTGCTACTAATTTCGATTTGCCAATTTTTTTATAGGTACCTATCTACCTATAGTTCTATTTGTAATCCTTTTAAAGAAAATAAATATTTTCTCTTACATACAAATTAAATGCATTACCTAATTAATTGTATTATCCTGTCAAAATCGAATAGAAATCGTGCGAATGTCTGTTATAAAATAAATCCTGGTTGTTTTGTCACATTGTTGGCACCAAAGAAAAGTGCAAATTCAAGTAAAAGTTAATTTGTATGCTTCTAATAAAGTGTTTTACAAGAGTGATGTTTCCCACTGAATTCTAAAATCCTTCTTACATAAATTGCTTTCCAATAATAAGTTATGTAGGCAAAGATGGACATTATTACTGCTAAACTTTGTATGTTTTCATTGAACTCAAACAAAGTCCTGATGAAGCCAAAATTTGGCAAAATAATTGTTAAGTAACGAAAAATTTTATTCTGTGTAATAGTTATGGTATTACAAGGGGTTCCTATAGACTTCGGAAAATGAAGAGATTTTGGTTTACAATCAGGACATGAAAAAGTGAAGGACGATAAATGAGAGACTCCAAATTAATACTTTACTTACACATTTATCTCTGTGCATAAATTATTAATAACATTGTTAATTACTTGCTGTTTCTACTACAATAAATTATATGCTAAATATTACTTTTACCTATACGTGTGTCTTTCTTAATTAAAAAATGATTGATATTATATAGTCAAGCTTGACACAACATTAGTTCAATTGCACAATAATTCGTTGCATAATACTCTTTAAAAGTTTAATCGAGACGACTAGCTGTTCTTTTCTTATTACACGACCTAATTCAAGCAAGCAAAAGTAAATGTAAGTACATCTTCACTTGTAGATAGATATATAGTTGCAATAAGTTTTGTTCAATAACATAAACATAAATTTGATTTTCATATGAATGAATCACTTTCGCAACCTTCTTGCGAAAGGTCATCTTTCCTCTTCTAGGTCGCAGTTTGCCACTGAAAGAAATCAAAAACTGGTCGTATTTATAAATCTTATTTTATTTTTAGAACCACCGCTTAATTAGCTTTTGTTTTTCTCATAAATATGCATTAAATACTGGAATTAATTTAAATAACTGCATTGAAACTGATACAACGTTTAAATTCAGTCTCAAGTGTGATACATGCAATGCAATTTTGTTTACGAAATCAAGGCAATTTTCTTTCAAAAAAATGTTGACGACAAACCGTTCCTTTCAGTCTAATAGACGTGTATGCATACTATATGTAGCTGTCGACTGGTTATTAAGTTTTTAGGTCTATAATATGCATTATTTATACTTAGTTGCAATCTTAAAAATGATGCAAACAGTAGATATGTACTATACAATTATTGGAAGATTGCATTTACGTCATCGTTATAATCGTACGAACTAATACAATCAAATAACAGTACAATTTTCATTTTTTCATTGTTTTGGTTCAGTGATCCCAAATTGCAGACTAACATTGCCTCGTTTTGTTTGCATAATATTGCTATAATATTGCCTCAGTCAACTAAGTGCATTTGTTGGAAATTTTTGAAATAAAAATTAAAACAGTTTCCTCATAGGAAAGACCGCATATAATGAATGTACTTATTGTGGGAAGATACATGTAAAAGTCATAGAAACCATTCAATTCGAAATCCTCAATTTCGAAATGCCTTCTGTAAATTATGCTTCTTAAAGTTACTTAATAGCAATTAAGGTAGGATTAAAACTTGCAAAAGTAGATAGAACAATAGCCCCAATAATTTCGCTTTTGTTTCACAAAAACTACTTCAAAGTTAATTGCGAAGGTCAAGGAGATTGTCGAAGAAAACAAATTTTTAGAGTCAATTTTACAAAATAATTCAGTGAATATTGACGAAATCACTTTTAATTTTGTTAAACTAAAAAAAAGTTATTTGAAGTTTCAAAATTCTTCAGAAAATTTTGATTTATAATTAATCCTAATCGTCATAAGGACTATACCACTAAGACTTCTTCCCATGTTTAACTAATCTGGGCATCTAGGGCTCTTACGTCTCTTAGGTACGTATTCTCGAACAGTAGCCTAGTCTAGGTCTACATCTGCCCCTATTAACACCTGTTTCTGCTTCTAATATATCTCTAACTAGCCCTTCATGTCTCAGAAAATACTCTCCCCTAAAAACACCTCGAACATGATCACCTACGATCAAAAGCCGATAATAATGGTCTATAATTTAAGTTGTAAGTAGTTACATTCTTTCAACGTTCGTTTGTACAAATATATGCACACGTAAGTAAGTAGATGTAATTATATGCACAAGTACACAAACAATAATGTATTTGAAACACATTTACATGAGGAAAAGCATTGTTCGTTCGGGTTAACAATAGAATTTCTTACAGGTATGTGGAACTCGTAAAAAGTGCTTAACTTTCTTTTGATTACGTTAAAAAAAAAGAAAGGAAAAGGAGTATCTAAAAATGAAAAAAATGAATGATTCGATTTGGAATTTGCACAACCAATAACGATAACTTATGTTGATTATATTATAGGCCAACTCCTTATTGAAAAGAATTTGATTGTTTAATATGCATACGGTAAAGCCAAATAGACGCAAACAGCGAATAACTAATTTAGATAAAGTATGACATTAGTCATAGAACACGTAATTGTGTTTTGTTAACATTTTTAACTATCCTATCTTAACAACATGTTTACCTTCTTGAATCCTTCGACAATTTTTGGAAACACCAAAAAATTGTGTTAATTTATTTAAACTACATTTTGTTTAAGAGTTAAATATGTAAATCAATTTGTAATGGTAAATCTATAGTAATTCTTCGTAGGTAGAAAATGCTTTTGAATATCAAACCAGAATGAACTTCTATGAAGTTACGTTTTACTTATTATATAAATACTTAGTTCTTCTACAGATACCTTCAGATATCTCATCTTTAATTAAATTATTATAAGATTACACAAACAAATAATTATCCATAAAAAGTTGTTCAATGATTGTAATAAAATAACGCCATACATTTTATGTAACAAACAATAAACAAATCGCCTTTATACAATACCTAATCGTAACTACACACTTAATTTACTTTGGTATTAAAACTCCTAACTCCTTTTGAATACTGAATAGATAAATGACAGAAAATCGAAGAGAATGTTTACTATTTTTCTTTTTTCCTTCTGAGAAAGTTAATGGTTTCCAATTAAACGTCGGAGTTGCCATAAAAGGCGTTGTAAATCGTCGAATTTTACTAAACCTCTCATTAAAGTAATGGAAGATGTTTGTATTGCTAGTAAACTTTTGAATTAGACAAATTTTATGGCTTTAAAATAACGCCATAATATGAAGCAATGAAAAGTGTTTTTTTTTTTAGTATTTTACACAAGTGTGCTATTAGAAACCAACAAAAAAATTAGGAATTTTAGACATCAGAATCTGATGGTTCAATCAATATATTGATCATTAAAGAAAGTGTTAGAACAATCTAGAAAATCAAACTCATTTTTTGGAGTTACTCGAAAACTACAATGAATTTTGATTAGTTCTTAGTATCTAATATAAAATTAAAAGTAGCAAAAAGCGTTTATTTCCTAAATTAGTACCAAAGTTTCGCTTTTTGTTGCAAAAGCTGTACGAAGTATAAAATTTATGATCCGATTAGGAAACAAATGATGGCAATTAGGAACGCTTAATTAGAACTACTTTTATTTCTCAAATATTTCACATACTATTTTCAAAAAGTATTGATAACAGTCTATAACTGTACAACAGTCTATATTTACTATATTACATGTCGTTACTCCAAATTAATACTTTACTTACACATTTATCTCNTTTTAGTAATCCTTAATTAATTTAATTGATTTTTAAAATATCTGTACCTACTCAAATGAATTATTTCAGGATTACATAATCAATCTAATCTTAAATTGTATTACGTCAAGATATAATAATGTCAGGTACTACAATGACAAAAAAATAGTAACGATAGTATTATCGATTACTCACATAAATTAAATGTTCTTTGAAACGTCTTTCTAAATTATTAACAAACGCTTCTTCACTAAGATAGTCTTCCAAGAGGACAGCGTCCTGCACCCCAACCCTATCTCGATCGTGAAGTCCCCCTTCCATGACGATGTCTTCTTATCACTGGAATAAATTTCTGTTTCTGCATGAACAGTTAATTAAAAATTAATCAATTAATTAATCAACGAAAGAACAAAGTAAATATTAGATTACGTAAGTTTGCCTTTGTATATAAATATTGTATTACAAATTACTTTTTACCCTGAAAATGTTTCGAAATGGCACACAGATTCTTTATAATTTCAAAGACAAACAATTCTTTTTCGTATCAGTGTTTGTCAGGGCCTCGTTATGTGCTTATCGGCATTTGTGTGATAAAAATTTGTTGGATTTGGAATAAGTCAAAGACCAACGTGTATTTTTAGATTTGACTACAATAGCTAATCATTTCATTGTATTATCATCTTTAGAAGCACAAAACAGGCAAAATGGGTTAGATTAAAGTATTTTGACAAAATGAGTAAATGAGCTGATAGTTTTATTAGGTACCGAAAGTTATCGTTTATTGTTTTGTATGAAACAGAAAAAATTCTTTAATAATATGAAGAAAATACTGAAAGGAATACTTATTATAGAGCAAAGAACAGGTTTTTATTTAATAAATACATATGAAGATTGGAAGTACTTTGGCGGTTGTTATAGAACAAACAGAATAGCTCAAAACCCCAACGCCAAAACACGACACTGTAGTTGTCCGAAGCACTTTTCTTCCTTCTTCAGGGACTGAAGTAAACTAGTTTACCTGAAGAAGGTAACTTTGTTATCGAAAAGTGCTTTGGACAACTACAGTGTCCAAAGCACTTTTCGGTAACGAAGTTACCTTCTTCAGGGACTGAA